CATTGTTAGATCAGTACTTCAATTTTGTTACCTACATTGGCGAAGAGATATGAAGGAAGCCTATCATTTATTGGTAAATTTTGCAGTGCTTAAGAATTTATTTGACTCTTAACTTCAGTTGCTGTCTTGTGTCAAAGAATGGAAGAAAACAGTTGCTTTGTGAGCTAATTCTTGATGAGAAAGCAGAGTAACTATACAGATAAAAAAATCCTGCATCAAATATTTGGTGATCAGATGATTGTATATGTGACAAGTTGGAATTCAGGAATTGTTGATTTGGTTGAATGCTAAACACAGATCAGTAAGTTCTGTAGATAATTGTGGATTAGTTTATTTCAGAAAATTATAGTGTGGAGACATGAAAATTACATCCCGAACTATTAAACTAGAGTGGGTGGGTTATTTGGCTGTCAGGTAAAGAACGTAGCTTAAATATATATGGTAATTGTTGATCTCAGAGCCACTAAGATAATGTGGCTCTTTTCTGATGCATGCTTGATTGCAAATATAGATGCAAATAGAGTCTCACTTTGAAAATAAGTAGTTCCAACTTTCAAGTAAGATTTGAATTTTCTTTTTGTCAAGCTTTTTTAATATTTTTATGTCTTGTTTTTTCTGATCAGTTCTCCATTAATGATGGTTCCTACTGTTTGTTGTTCTATTAGTCTTTTGTTTTTCCGAAGAATAGAACATCTGCTGCTTCCAGTGAACAACAGCCTCCTGCTAATACGGCCAAAGGCTATGTCTCATCAGCATCTTCAAAATAATCCTGGTTTGGAACATATATGCAAATTTGCAGGGGGAAATCACTTTTGGTCAGATTCGACATCTGAAACTGCCATAAATGTCTGTACTGTATCTTCATATAGTCACAAAATTTATAGCATTTTCCTTGTGAATGTGTGATGTTCTGTCACTGTCAATTTGTCATGTATTAGTGGAATTTGCTCTTTGTCTTCTCATCAGCATTAATTTTCATATGTAGTCATGGTCTGGATTGTCTTTTTTTTTTTTCTTTTTTTTCAGATGGCCTTTACGAAACAAGCTTAATCCACAGAATCTTAGATGCATACAATGTGTCATGTCTGTTCTACTTTAAATTCAATTACATTTACTTGTGAGACTTGCATTAAACAGAAAGCAAATTGTGCTGAGTGTATTTTTGTGCAAGAATATTGTAGCCATTCTATAAAGCTTAAAGATTTATTTATTTGCAGTCAAACTGTTATCATGTATTGGCTCTATTGCTTTTTATCTTTTAGTCAAGTTCTCTACTTGAAGCTTGTAAGATGATAAGCTTTTCTTTTCTGTTTTTTTTGCCTACTCAAAAGATTCTCATATGGTGTCTTGACACAGACTAACAATTGAGGTTTTTATTCTGCCAGAAGAAAGAAAAGAAAGATTGATAGTGAAGGGAACTTTTGTCCCCATTTTACTTGGAAGCAAAACAAAACATAAACAATTTGACAATGACAAAGACAGCCTTGAACCTAGAAGAACAAAAGGTCTACAATTCATTCATCGACAGGAATGGTGGGCTTTATACTGGCAAAGAGAATCCAAGGGATTTCTAAAGAAAGAGAGAAAATGCATATATATATATATATATATATATAGAGAGAGAGAGAGAGAGAGAGAGAGAGAGAGAGAGAGAGAGTATTGCATTTCTGTGCTGTGCTGTTCCCTCTCAAGTACCTATTGGAGAATTTTAGGGTCTTGGGTTTCACCCTCTTGTCATTTTGCTGCATCACTAGCATCCCCTGCTGCTTTATTTTCCTATGCTATTTACCTGTCAAGCTACAATGTCAATCCCATCTCTTTTCGTTTTCACTCTTTCCCTAATCTTTTACTTGTGTTCTTTTCTTGTGAGGTGGCTATGCCTTTTTGATTCTCAAGGGAAAAAAAACATGTAGAAAATTAAAAAAAGAAAACATTCCACCACTTGTTCTCGTTTCTCCCCCAGTGTGCAGTACCCAGTGGAGAGGACATGAACATTGTCACTTGCTTTTCATCTGATTTATGTCTCCCTCTGCCATGACAAGCAATTCTGATGTCATGCAAATTCTAAGAACTGAATTTATAATTTCACGTATTATCTAGGTTTTGTATCAAACTGATCAGGTTAAATTGTTATCTTAGGTAACATTAACTATTTCTGAGTTGGGACTGCACTCAAACTGTTCTTCTCATGATAAAAATGTTATGGTACCAGAAATCATTTACATGATGAAGTGAATTTTCTTTTCTAGAGATCCTTTATTCTATAATACAAATTAATATAGAAAGAGATTATTAAGTAATCTTACCATGAATATTTTTTTGATGTTCTTAGGCTTTTAGGGTTAAAGTGGCAGAAGAAATTTGAACAGAGAGACAGACTCCTCTATTGCCCCAGGCAAATGTTGGGTGGCGCTATTTGCTGCAGCAGGTAGTTCCTTGTTGGGTCTATTCCAAAGGAAACATATGTAGAGATGTCACTGTGTGAGTCCTCACCTTTTACTCCACTTTTTCCTGATCTTTCCCCTGTTTTCCTCAAATGTAGCTTGTTTCTCTCAGGGATTGTAGAATAAAATGATGAATAAGGAGATTTAAGAGACATGATACAGAATAATCTGATCCAAGCCTGATTTTCTTTTTCTTTTTGGTATGCATGGATGTCAAAGTAGTTATAATTGAGCTTTAGATAAGCTGTATCAGGAGATATATATATATATATATATATATATATATATATATATATATATATATATATATATATATATATATAATTTTTGTATATTATTAAGAGGGAATAAAGAAGGGAAATGAAGCTAACACTTTTTTGTGACTTCAGAACTTCTCCAGCGGAAATCAAGCTTGAGGTATTTAGGACTTTTTGAAAGTAAACAGCCTCCCTTTTTTTTCTTTCGCTTTTGCTGTATCTCACATTGGTGTAAGACTTGTTTGAGAGAGTAGTTTTCACCAACAACATTCTCTGAGGTGAAATTTTTGGCTGATTAGAGATGAAAACAGCATAGTATTTAGTCCTCAGTTTCTTTTATTTGTCTGCTTCCTTTGGTGCAGCCTTTTACCATCACTCGCATGAAGAACAACAGGAAGAAGCATGCCATTATTCCAACGCTTGGGACCCTTGATTGGCACCATACACCTACGGCTAATGGAAAGGAAGAGAAAGCTAGTCATGGAGCTCCTCTTTCACAGGTCCCAAAAAAGAGTCCGATACCAAAAGGATTGGTCAAAAAGCATCTGCTCACAAGAATGAAGGGGAACAAAAAATATACTGTAAGAGGTGTAAAACTCATAAACATTTATTTCTTCATGCTAGTCTTAAACTCTGGCCAATAATACATGCATTTGTTGTAAGTTTTTATCTGCTATTGTTTTCCACTTAAGTTTTAATCAGTGTTTCGTCGCAAGTGAAAGGATTTGAGCATTGATATTTCTTCGATGCAAATGTAGTTCTCAAAAGAATAATGATTCTGTTCTGTATTGTTTAATGCCCCAAGTACTCAGGTTATATTTTTCACATTTTTGACTTGTTGTCTGCCAGGATTATAGCATGGTTATTACTCAGGACATCGTGGCAGTGATTTCAGAATAACATAAACTCTTTTCATAGGATTTGAACACTTAGGATTAGATAGATAGTATCATATGGTTCTCCTTGCAGCTAGCTAGTCTTTCAGGCTCTGGCTCAGGCATCACAAGATGCAGACATGTGAAAAGCTAGGCGTGTAGTGATCTTAGAGTCTATGATACCTGTTCAGCGTTACTTCATTCCTATTGTACACTTGTACTTGGAAGGAGACACTGTTTGCATAGCATTTATGACATTTAGGGGTTGCATTCTTAAACGAGGAACCTTCATGCAACGAGATAATAAAGCTTTTACCAAATGAAACAAGGATTGGATGGGGCTTGTTGGGGATGCGAGGGAGAAGGCAGGCAGGCCAGTGTGACGTAAGAGGAGCAGACATGAGCATGCTTTTTGGTACTTGGTGAGAGGGAATGCAACACTGTCTCTGTGTGAGGATTGCTGCAAGAGCACACTTGTTTTTCTTTTGAGACAAGGAGAGATCACTCATGCAGCAGCTTCAAAGGAAGAGAAAAAGGGGTGGGGTGGGAGCACCAGTACTCGCTCGCAGACACAAACAAATATGCTTGTATAAAGTTCAAAAATTCCCTGCTGCTTTGCCCACCTTTCCATCCTTTCTTTTCCTTCTTTTTCTGACTCTTTCTGCTTTCCCTTGTGTTTCTTTGAACATTTCTGATGGCCTTGTCTGTGTGTTCAAGGGGACATATGGTAAGAGGAGGGGGAAGACCTGTTGAACTCATTTGGCACGTCTATGAAGAAGCCACTGCGGTTGTCTATGGAGCAGACCTGTGTGATGGTAGGCATGTCTTGTTGATCCACTTGCAAGAGAAGAGAATATTCTTCCATCAGCTCCTCAATTTCTTGGGATCATGTAATAACTTTAGTCATCTTTTACACCTCCAGATCAGGACAATATGATGGCAGAGAACAAAGAGTAGTAGAACAGCCCCCCCCAAGTGACCCATCTGATAAGATGCTTTAAAGAAATGCTGATGCTGAGGAACACCACCCTGCTCTGCTTGATTCATGTACAATCCCAGTCAGCAGCAAACATGCAAGTATCGATCAAATCAAAGGTAATGGTATTATTATTAGCTCAACCGTGTGATTAGCTTTGCATGAGATATTCCTGGTGCCTTCCTTGATTACATGAGATTTACTTCCTTGCATCTAAACATCCAGTGTGTGTTCTTTTCACACTTTATCACCAGGCTATTTCTTGGTCCTCTGCAATGATGAAAGGAGGAGCAGTGCTGTGCATGCACAGATTATGCCGTCTAAATAATGAATGGTGCAATTGAGCAATCATTTCATGTGTGCATTTTTGGGGCACTGCCCATTTCACGCAAATATTTTTTGAACATGTCGCAGCATTCTTGCACCAGCATAAACAAACACAAAGAAGAAGTGAATTAGGCCAAAAGAAGGTGCAGAAAGTGAAAGCGAGCAATCCCTGAAGTGGATGTAGAAAAGCAACACCAACACTGCAACACTCGCAACAGAAAAAGCCAGAGAAGGAGAGGGACATGATAAGAGGGAAAAGGAGCTGCTTCAGCTGTATAAAGCTCCTCCCACCCAGTTGTCCAACTCCCCCCCTGCCACTGAACACACTCTCTCCAATCCCCACAAAGTGTAGTCGTCACTACTCCTCTTCTGCTGTAGCCAAAGAAACTAGTAGCAGCTGCAGTTGCAGTTTCAGTTGCAGTTGCAGAGAGAGCAAGCAAAGCAGCTCCTTCCTTTTCCACCGTAACACATTAATTCACCCCAAGGTTGGTGTCGCCGAAGGAGGAGGACGCCACCAAGAAGTGGAACGAGCTCTGTTGGCAACGCCGCACGGGTTGGACTCCAAGGCGAAGTCATGCGAACAGGAGTCTGCACAGTGCAGCAGGCCCTCACAGCTGAGGTAGCCGCAGTCCTGAAGCACTCCCTCGACCTGGCCAGAAGAAGAGGCCATGGCCAGGTCACGCCGCTCCATGTTGCCGCCACCCTCATGAGCTCCTCCTCCGCCTCATCAGACCTACTTCGAAGGGCTTGCCTCAGATCCCAGCCTCATCACCCCGCCTCCCACCCGCTCCGGTGCAGAGCGCTTGAGCTGTGCTTCAATGTGGCTCTCAACAGGCTCCCCACCACCGCTCCTCCTTCCTCCGGCCCTCTCTTCCCTTCGCCGTCCTCCCTCTCCAACTCCCTCATTGCAGCCCTCAAGCGAGCCCAGGCCAACCAGAGGAGGGGCTGCATTGAGCTCCAACAACAGCAACCTCTGCAGCAGCAGCAGCCGCCTCTTCTGGCCATCAGGGTGGAGATGGAGCAGCTCATGCTCTCCATCTTGGACGACCCTAGCGTTAGCAGGGTGATGAAAGAGGCGGGCTTCTCTAGCAGCTGCGTCAAGAACAACCTGGAGGAGGAGACCTCTGTTTCAGGCCAGTCCTCACCACTTCTGTTCGAGTCCAGTAAGGACATCATCAACCATGGCAGAGATTTCTGGCAGAAGTATCTTTTGAGACTGTCCGCTGAGCAGAGCCCGCCTCATGCACCAAAATCCTCCCTAAACGAGGACTTGAGGGTGGTCTTGGAGGTGATGCTAAGGAAGGAGGGGAGGAGGAGCAACACCGTAGTGGTGGGGGATTCTGCTTCCATGGCAGAGGGGCTGGTGGCTGAGCTTATGGGGAGGGTGGAGAGAGGTGAGGTCCCTGATGAGCTCAAGCATGCTAGTTTCATAAACCTTCAGTTCTCCTGTGTGCAGCTCAGGCTCATGAGCAAGGGTGATGTGGACCTGAAGGTGTCTGATCTCAGAAGAACCATCAATTCTCTAGCAGGAGATAGAGTTGGTGGGGGTGTGATCATCCATGCAGGGGACCTAAGTTGGGCAGTGCATGAGGAAGCAAGAGATGGGTGTGGCTTCAACGCAGTGCAGCACATGGTTGCAGAGATGGGTAGGCTGCTATCCGAGTGCAAGAGCATCAACAGCAATGGTGTTGGGGCTGGCAGCAACAAGGTATGGCTGCTGGCTAGTGCAAACTATGAGACGTACGTGAAGTGCCAGATGAGACAGCCATCTCTCGAGATGCAATGGGCTCTGCAAGCAGTGGTGGTTCCCTCGGGTTGGCTGGGGCTGAGCCTCCAAGCTTCCAGGTGAGATCATTGGCTGAAATCTGTTTCTCTTTCAGTGTGGATGCTTGTTTCCTGGTGTCAATGATTGTTCCTATGAAACGTATGCATCTGTGATTCTCTTTTTGGTTGATTTAGAAGTTCTGATGTTGTGAATGTAGGACCACATTGATAGGTTTCAGTGGAAAGATAAATATATGCAAGTTCTCTTCCTTTCTCTGGCCATAACACAGACATCACTTTCAGCAATTCAAGACTAACACCCAAACTATCTCACAGAGACTGAAAGTGTTTGTGATTCCTCTCTTCCATGCTTCATGTACATATATTCTATGTTCATCAAGCAGTGCCATCCAAGTGTCATATACAGTGAGATATTCATGTGGTTGCATCATGGTTAACTGTAGATTGAGTCAATTTTATGTAAGATCGAACTAGTTTGCACTAACATCTTATCTTTTCATGTTCTGCAGTGGCCTGGATTCAAGGGTGCCAAAATTTGGTCAGTTTCCCTTCCAACTGGTTGAATCAAAGGTTTTAAGCTCAAAAGAAGATGAGAAGCTCACTTGCTGCAATGAGTGTATGTTCAATTTTGAGAAAGAAGCATTATTTTTCAATTCAGAAATCAAAGACATGAGCAATATCTCAACCCAGACCTCAAGCTATCATAAGGTAAATCAGACACATATTGACTCTTTCATTGTGTTTCCCTGACAGCTTCCGTTAATAATTTTCTTGACTTTTTTCTTCCTTTTTTCCAGGAAGCTTTGGTAGAATTGAAGAGGAAGTGGAACAAGCTGTGCCAGAGTCTTCATCACAGTCAAGCTCATTTGTACCCTCCATCGTTCAGTCAGAGTCTTATCAGTAGTAGAAACTACTCCACCAAACCTTCATCAAATTCATGGTGGTCTAGCGGCTTGTTCTCCAACCAAAACAAAAACTTGATCGAACCACATCCTGTATCGTTCTCGGCGACTAGTCTAAAACTCAATGCTGGATTCTCAAGCACTGTAGTTGACAAGAAGAATGAAACTGGGAACTGGCAGGAGAGAACCGAGTCAAATCAATGGTTGTCTGAAGCAAGCTTGAATTCCCTTAAAATGGCAGCAAATCAGCAGGTTATGACTGCTCTTGCTCTGTACAGTCCCCTATACTCTGATTCAGCAACATCAAAAGACCAGACAAGGCGATCGATGGCAGAACCATTAGAACTTGGACGACAACTGCAAGAGAACATCCCCTGGCAATCTGAAGCCATCCCTTCGATTGTGGAAGCATTGCATGACTGCAGAAATGGTGACAAGAAGGTTGTTCGGCTGCTGATCCAAGGAAATGATCATGTTGCCAAGAGAAGACTTGCCCGGGTCATGGCCGAGTCCTTTTTTGGATCCCCCAATAAACTGATCCAGATTAATCAGAGGAATTCGTCCACAACCGGAGAGGATTCATGCTTGGAGACCCTCATAGATGCCTTGAGAAAGGAACCGAAGTGTGTGGTCTTGATAGAGGATGTCAATCGAATGCATTGCAACTTCGTCAACTCCTTCACGGGTGCGTTGAAAGTTGGATCCTTCAAGGACTCATTTGGTGGAGAAGTGAGCTTGGGTGATGCAATCTTCGTTCTTACCACTTCCAAGTTGACCAAATTCGATGTTGCCAACAACGTAGTGAATATGAGATTCTGTGTTGAAGATTCATCACCTAGAGATGCTAAGAGGAGGCCAGAAACTGATCTGCAGAACATGTCCAAGAAGGGGAGAACAGGTGAGTCCAGCTTCGATCTTAACATGCAACCGAGCGAGGACAGCGAGGAAGACGCCGTCCCCAGTGATCTCACACATGAGACAGAATGCATCAGTCTCCATCTCCCACAAGAGCTTCTTGAAGCCACCGTTCAGCTCACATTGGACGCAGGAAGTCACCAGTTCCAGGAAATGAAGCTCAATCTCCTCTCAAAGCTCCATAGAGCCTTCGAGGAAATCCCGAGCGATGACAACGACAAGAAGGGACACCTCTTCATCGACCCCACAGTGGGGGAGGAGCTAATGGAGGCCTCTGGTTCCTTCTCAGAGAGCTTCTTCGAGCATTGGGTGAGGGAAGTCTTCCAAGTGAGCTTGCAGAGCATAAAAAAGGGCAGGAATGTGAGATTGAGCTTGGAAGGTGAAGAGAGACACGTTCAAGAGTCCGGATTCATGGGTTCTGTTCTACCACATAGCATACATGTGGATTGAAGCTGCAAGTGAACCCTCCCTCCTGTTGTAAACTTGCAGAGATGAGCATAACGCCACCCTGTAACATGTTCTTCTGGCAAAAACTTCCCACTTCAAAGTCCTTCACTAGTGTTGATCTTCTCTACACATACCCAGCAAAGTCTTCATGTTCCATGACTGCCGTTTCTGAGAGCTCCTCTACGGGCCATGTTGCTGTGCCAGCAGTGCATTGCCATTGTTGGTGACACAGTGTAACAACAACACAGATCCCTTCCCTTTGTCATGTCTGCATGGAAGTAGACATGGCAGGGGGACAAGAGTTCCAACGTTCTTCTTTTCCCTTGTGTTTGCATGCGCTTTGCGCTCACGCGGGAAAAGGCATCATCTACTGCGGTCAAAAAAGACATGCTGTCCTTTGGAGTCAATAGCTTAAAGGCTATAGATTGACCGAGAAAGTGTGCTGGATAACAATCTGCTAATAGATTGGGTTGTTTTAACTTGATTTGACAGGTTAAGCCACTAATATATATAGCTTAACTCCAGTTAACCTCAAATTAATCAGGACCATCATAGTTGGTATATGTGCACCATTACTTGGAAAGTTAAGCCCATCCAAGACCATAACATGATTTGTCTCGATGCCGAAAAGAGGGGTGTCACTCATGAAGCTATCATTTCCCATCTTACTACTGAGTTCCATGGCCAAAAGGATTACACCCACAACAAAGGAAAGAAAGTCGATCGATTGTTTTATTTTAGGACGCAATACCTTACTTTGATCACTTGACTTGTCTTTATGAAGAAGGTCCTACATCAACTTCCTTGTTGTTCACTTTGCTTTCTCTGAACTTTAGCATACTTGATGAGGAAGAATAGTCATCATGCATTCTTCATGTCAAATCTGATGGCCATTTGCTTCCCATAAATCCATTTATTCATCATGAATACAGGAAGTGCCATCAACATGGTGTTGGAAGTTTTAATTCACAGTCTAACTTCAACATCATCTATGATCATTTTTTCTCACAGAGAGGTTGGATCTCCATGGAGCATATCTTCAGCTTGAGAGGGCCCCAAGAACTAAGCACACTTGTCTGGCTGCGATTTGTGAAAATAGTAGAGTAGAGGGAAATAAACTAGCAAGGATGACAAATGGAGGATGTGGAACTCACTTGAATAAAGAAGGCCAGCAATAGCAATATTTCCCACCCATTCAACTTCAATGAATACTTTACTGCAATTATTTATATACCTGAGAAAAGGACTCTTCCTCCTTTATTCTTCATCAAAAAGCAAAACTTTTGCAGTCCATTTCATGGTTTTTGACCCAAAAGAATCCCACCACTCCAAGGCATTCTTCAACTTATTATTGTTATTTCTTGACTGCTTGAGCACACAGGCAAGAACATCATTACACCCAACTGAAAAGGCAGGCCTTTTTCTCTCTGATGCCCTGGAAACCATTCAATGACTTCACTTTCATGGCTTGCAAATCTAAATCCAAGCTCCAAGATTCAGATCTTATACAATCTTGTGTTAAAGGTATCACTATTTGTCTGATGTCAGCTACTCAACTTTTCAACATGCTGAAGATGTACAAAAAGCTAACATAAAGACTTCGATGTGCTGAGCAATGGTTTTTGTGCTTTTGATGGATATAATCTTCTGATGCAGTCCTAAGTGGATCCATTACCACCTTAAGAACGTGAACATTTGATGTGCTGAGCATCATTTGAGCAGCAGCAATCCTCGGTTCTTAAGAATGATGATGAACAAACCAATCCTTGAAACAGGATATGGAGGTGGAAATGCACACCAAGTTTGAAGCATCGGTCAATGAGCTCAGCACAACAGCAAAGCAAAAGATAAGCGCAGGACAATAGGTACTCTCAACAGGAATCTTTTCCTCCTTATTGGGCTCGATTATCCCAAGAAAGATCCAACTCCAAGTTGGGAAGAAGCCAAAATGTAGGATTTTAATCGGATCCATCCTGCAATTCTTTGCCACGAACTCGACCCGTGTAGCTAACGGGTCGCATTTTTCGGCTGTTGGATTTCGATTAAGCCGGGCCGTCGTCGGGCCGGATCCTGTCCCAGTCAGTTTCGTGTTCCCGCGACGCGACATGGGAAAATGATCCCCTATTCGCGGAGCGCGTGGGTCCCATTCAGATCGTCATTTTCGATCAGAGAAACTCGTGTTTCCTGTCTCGATTGCCACGTACGATTTGCGCTTCCAATGCTTGGAACCACGAGGAGCCCCGAAGAGCTGCCGCTTCTGCGGCGGGGCGGTCATGGTTTCCATCCATAAAGAATAGAAGTAGCAAGCAAGAGGAGAACTCATCTATATAAGTTTGAAGGAGCTCTTCTTCTGTGGATCACATGCGTTCCGGCGAACTGCTACCACCAGTATGTATCATTCAAGAGAGGAACCCAGGTGATGAACGGCCCTGGCGAACACAAGCATGTCGGACGGCGCCTGGGCCATCGCCGCCTCCTCTTGTCTCGTTGTTGGCACCCTTGAGTCGTTCGCGATGGCGTCACGGATCAGCCTTGCGGTACTTGGACTACGGTGGGACGGATGGTCTCCTCCGCTCTCATCTCCCTTGCCCTCGTTCTCTCTTCCCTTCTTCCGCACCTCCTCTTCCATGCCTCGCATAGTGACTTGGGCGGCGGAGCAGAACACTCGACGTGCATGGATTGCATGCAAAGCACGTGTCGAGAGAGTCGTCGATATGGGCTCTATTTTGGGCTATAGGTGATTTGCATGTAAGCCCAAGCCCAATATAAAGCCCAATCTAAAGCCCAAACCCAAGCTGCTAGTGTGGCGGAGTCCCCCTCGTACAAACGGAAAGCGCAGTGTTCGATCCACGACCTCCGCCCACCTCCTCCTCCTTCTTCCCCTTCGTCCGAGTCGCCCCAAGAAACCCTTCGATCCCCACAGAGGGTTGACCCCAATTGTCCATCGGATCGTCTCCAACCCTATCTCGCGCCGATTTGGATCTCGCCCCTCCTCACCTCAGATCTATTCTCGGTACCTTCGGATCCACCAGATCCAGATCCAGATCTAGGGTTTTAAGGTAGTTTGCAGGGCAGGAGGCAGGTGGACGAGATGGAGAAGTCATGCTCGCTGCTGATCCACTTCGACAAGGGCTCGCCGGCGATGGCGAACGAGATCAAGGAGGCCCTCGAGGGCAACGACGTAGGGGCCAAGATCGACGCCCTCAAGAAGGCCGTCATGCTTCTCCTCAACGGGGAGACGCTCCCTCAGCTCTTCATCACCATCGTCCGCTACGTGCTTCCCTCCGAGGACCACACCGTGCAGAAGCTGCTGCTCCTCTACCTGGAGATCATCGATAAGACCGACGCCCGCGGCCGCGTGCTCCCTGAGATGATCCTCATTTGTCAGAACCTCCGCAACAACCTGCAGCACCCCAACGAGTACATCCGCGGGGTCACTCTCCGCTTTCTCTGCCGCCTATCCGAACCCGAGATACTGGAGCCCCTTGTGCCCTCCGTCCTCGCCAACCTGGACCACCGCCACCCCTTCAGCCGCCGCCACGCCCTTCTCGCCGTCGCCGCCATCTACCGGCTCCCCGGCCAGGCCGGCGAGCAGCTCCTTCCTGACGCCCCCGAGCTGGTTGAGAAGACCTTGTCCTCTGAGCAGGATCTTTCCGCCCGTCGCAACGCCTTCCTCATGCTCGCCTCCTGCGCCCAGCCCCGTGCCGTCACCTACCTCCTGTCCCACGCCGACCACGTTCCCGACTGGGGCGACCTCCTTCAGATGGCCGCCCTCGACCTCATACGCAAGGTCTGCCGCTCCAACCCCGCTGAAAAGGGCAAGTACATTAAGATCATCATCTCCCTTCTCAACTCCCCCTCTGCCGCCGTCGTCTATGAGTGTGCCAGCACTCTCGTTTCCCTGTCCTCTGCTCCGACTGCCATCCGGGCTGCTGCCAACACCTACTGCCAGCTCCTTCTCACGCAGAGCGACAACAACGTCAAGCTCATCGTGCTCGACCGCCTCAACGAGCTCAAATCGTCGCACAGGGAGCTTATGGTGGAAATGATTATGGATGTGCTCCGTGCCCTGTCAAGTCCGAATCTTGACATCAGGCGCAAGACGTTGGACATCGCCCTCGAGCTGATTACATCGAGGAACGTCGATGAGGTGGTACTCACGCTCAAGAAGGAGGTCGTCAAGACCCAGAGCACTGAGCTCGAGAAAAATGGGGAATACCGGCAGATGTTGGTACAGGCCATTCATTCATGTGCGATCAAGTTCCCCGAGGTCGCAAGCACCGTGGTGCATCTGCTGATGGATTTCCTCGGGGACACGAATGTGGCTTCTGCTGTTGACGTGGCTCTCTTCGTCAGAGAGATAATTGAGACCAACCCAAAGCTCAGAGTGTCCATCATCACGAGGCTACTCGACACGTTTTATCAGATTCGTGCTGCGAGGGTCTGCTCGTGTGCTCTTTGGATCATTGGTGAGTACTGCCTTTCGCTCTCTGAGGTGGAAAGTGGGATCACGACTATTAAGCAGTGCCTGGGAGATCTTCCTTTCTACACTAGCACTGAGGAGGGGGAGGTGGCGGATGCTTCAAAGAAACCCCAGCAGGTCAACTTGTCTGGTACCGTTTCTTCAAGACGGCCTGTGGTTTTGGCGGATGGAACTTATGCAACACAAAGTGCTGCCTCAGAAACTGCTGTGTCTGCTCCGACGGTTCTTCCAGGATCTGTGGGTTCACCTGGAAATTTGAGGTCACTAATCTTGTCTGGTGACTTCTTTGTAGGTGCAGTCATTGCTTGCACTTTGACTAAGCTGGTTTTGAGACTGGAAGAGGTCCAGCCGTCAAAGGCTGAAGTAAACAAAGCTTGCACTGGGGCTTTGCTGATAATGACTTCTATGTTGCAGTTGGGACAGTCTACCTTTCTTCCCCACCCGATCGATAATGATTCTTACGACAGGATTGTGTTGTGCATAAGGTTGCTCTGCAACACCGGTGATGAGGTGAGGAGAATATGGTTGCAGTCATGCCGCCAGAGTTTTGCTAAGATGCTCGCAGAGAAGCAGTTCCAAGAAACTGAGGAGATTAAGGCTAAGGCCCAGATTTCCCATGCACAACCTGATGATCTCATTGATTT